TATATATATATATAACATTTATGCATACATATGTATGTATGTATATATGGAATATATATATATATTTTTTATATACATATACATATACACTTAATATTTTTAAAGTTAGAGAGAGAGAGCTAGAAAGAAGAAAAAAAGAGAGAAAGAATAGCAAATGCTTTACAAATATCTAATTATCAATATTAGACTATATATAGAATTGTATACTATATACACAACTAGTATAAACCAAGAAAATTCACATAATTCCCTCTTTATAATTTATTGATCATAAATATGAAAATCTTATACACATACTATATAATAGAGAAATAATAATAAATCATAAATATATTTACCGTAATTATTTATTTATGTTTATGAGTAAACACATATACACACATATGTACATACATATATATACACGTGCAGCTATATGAAAAATTTTACAGGTAATAGGGGTTGTGTATCATCTGTCTCTCTAGCCTCTTCTGATTGAAATATCTTACCAAAATCTCGAACTCCTCGAGAGTTGCATTGTTCTGCCAATTAGATGTATCTTGCACTGTAAAGATTAAAATGCACACACGAGACTATCATAAACGACTATTATCCGACATTTCTGTCTCCACTGTTTCTATTCTCATCGAAGTCAAATGAAACTAGCGCACACATGCACCGATATATATATACACAGCGGAAATGTGTTGGATGTGTTCTTTGCAGATACACCTTCCGCACTTGAAGACTCTTTTCATCTCTTTCGCTCCCCAAGTTCAGTCATACGTCCATCTCGAATGCAGGAACTGCAAGGAACAAGTTTTGTTCATGGTGCAAGCTGCCAACCGTATGCAGAATCTAGATCTTATATAACTAGGACACAGTTTGCACTTTGCAGATCTTGAACATGAAAAGCACAACAGTGAAAAAACTGAATTTGTTAGAACGATAAAAGTGATACTTAATTTTATATTAAAATATCGGTTACAAGAAGAGTTGTACCTTCTCTATAGCATTTCAAACACAAGTTGCCGATCGCAAATATTTACGATATCAAATCTTTTTCTTGCGTGTTTTGACTGAAAAATTCGAATAAATTGTTTTGATAAAACGATATTCTGCGTAATTCCTCTCAGTCTTTTTCGGAAGAGGTCCCGGACTGGCGAAATTGTTGATTCGAAAGCATGCGAAATAGGGTGAGGTCAAAGTCTCACTGCACCTGTTTCGAAGTATCTTTTTATCTTTATTCTATATTTAACGAATAATAAAGATAGACTAATGTTTCGAAACGTTTGAAGTGAGATTTTGACCGCACCCATGGTCAAGAGGCGCTATCTAGACTGCGTTGCCGATATTTACTGCCAGGAACTAAAAATCTATACTTCACGTCACATGTGCTGTAGATTTCCAAGATTAGGCAGTGAATATCGAAACGCAGCCCTAGCGACAATCGATGAATTCTAGTGTCATTGTGGTATCACAGACCACCGCTAGATAGCCTGCTTGTTTTTTTATCTCACTTGTTTACTAGCTAGATGGCGGATGAGAGATGTGTACTTCTGCTGTTGGAATGCAATGTGTCAGATACAAGTAAAATGTTATAAATTGTTTATTATGTATTGTTTATATATTTTCAAATGACCAAATGTGTTTATGCAATTTAACAATCAGATGTCACGTATCAAACTAATGAATTATATTTAAATGTAACAATTGGGTTATGTGTTTTTGCAATAAACAACGTTATAAACCGATAGATCTGTCTTGTGCCAATCAATATTGACAATATGTAAGTAATATAATATATTTATTTTTTACGTATTTTATAAGGTGTTGTATCTTTGCTTCATATGTGTATATATATTACAAAGTTGCAGACAAAAAAACTAAATAAGTGTAAATCACATCGAATAAATGTAAAGGAGATGTGTGTACAATAGAGATCTTGTTGACAAGTGATACAGGTGGTCAAAATAGTGTATAAGTCTAGTATAGAAGAAGTAACCATGATAGAAATCACAGCAAAACTTGTTCGAGGTCCTGTATATTTCTCTGGAGAAATTGTAGAATGTTTAGTTACATTCACTAATCCACCAAATCCAAATCATCAAATATCACAAAGTCACAGGTATAATTTGCTATTACTTAATAACTTGTATTTATATTTTATAATACAATTTTAAACTATTCTCTGCAGTGATCTCTTTGAAAGTCTTGCATGGGCTAGTGCACAGGTTCATTGCCAGTGTTCAACAAATAACAAGATGGTGCTTTCAGAAAAAATCAAAACTGCAGCACGCTCATTGGCAATCAATGCAAGTACGCGAGTTCAGAAAAATATTTTATTCAATATGTATATTATTATAATTTTTCTGTTGATTATATGTATTTATCATGATTCACGCAGATACTACTTTTGCACCATGGCAGCAAGACAATGGACATGTGGTATTGAATACAAAGCCAAAAATCTTGTGCTGTGATTTGAGACTTTCTCCTGGAGAAAGTAAGACGTGTAAGTATCTTTATAAGTGTTCAAATAAGTGTTTATATGTTTATGCCGTTCAATTATTTTTTTCTTATTGTATGTACATTTTGCTAATATGTATTAGCTTAAATGTATATTTAATCATCTTTTAACAGATATTTATCGTGAAACAATACCAAGTGATGCTCCGCCTTCGTACAGAGGACAGGCTGTGAAATATTCTTACAAGATTACTATTGGAACGCAAAGAGTGAATACTGTCATAAAGCTGTTACGGGTGCCATTCAGAGTGCTTTCCTTGAGTGGTAATCTCATTTTTTCAATTTACGATTACAATAAGACATATGAAAAATTACAAAATAACTAATAGTATTGCTACATAAAATGTAATTTGTACAGAATTGCCAGAAATAACAGCATGCAGTGACAGTGTGGATCTGAGTCCAAATAATCCATTTATGGAAACGCAGCATAGGGAAACTCCACTGGATATCGCCCTGCAAACACTGCAGGTTGGAAATTTTTCTTGCTTTGTTAAGATTTGAACGTCTAATTTTGTACCGAAATTTAATTGTGCATTTTAATGAACATTTCAGAACTTAACGGCCAGACGTAGTCCAAACTTTTACAATGTTACCAACGGCCGCGGACGCGTGGTGCGGTTCTGTCTCTTCAAGAATTCTTATAAGCTCGGCGAGGACATTGTAGGAACCTTCGACTTCTCAAATGCTACCGTATCCTGTGTTCAAGTGTCCGTGTCGCTACAATCGGAGGAGCACGTGTCGGAAGAATACAAACGTGGAAAGGCCACGACGCCGACATTGATTAGCTATAATAAGCATCACGAGATGTGTTTGGGTTTAAAATACTCTCACTTGGTGCTGCCGATACCTCATCACGTTACGCCCGATTTTACGACCGATCTGGTGACGCTCAAGTGGCGACTGCACTTCGAATTCGTCACAACGCCGAAGCTGGTGGAGATGCCTAGCGAGAACACCGTCAGCTGGCACGGACCGTCGACTCTCGACGTCGAGACGATGATCTGGGATCTTCCGTTGCACATCCATCCGACGACCACGCCGCCGAACACGGCGCAGCAGACAAAATACAACACTATCATATAGCTATCATCATAAAATGGCGCGGTGTGCGTGTAAAAAATACAAACAATTGATATTTCTGATAGATTATATGTTATAAGTGTAGAAGATAAGAAACAATCCTGCATTTTACCCTCTCAAAACTTCGGTGACTCTTCCAATAAATGGTTCTATTTATCGATACTCTTGAAAACGAGTTAGTAATTTATAGAAAAAGATATATTTTCATATATTTATCGATACAAGTAAAAAAAGAATTGTGTATATATAACAATAAAGGAATCGAAGAATATTAACTTATAAGAATCGTTAAAATTATTTTCAAAATAGCATCTGTGGCTTTTAGCCGGCATTTAAATTGTTGTTTATTAAATTCCCGATACTGTATCGATACTAAGAATATAATACGTTCTAAGAGACTAATGACTTCGCAGAAATAGTAAAAATATATACTATACAGCACAATAAACAGAAAAATAAACAACCTAGTTTGATGTCTATAAATAATAAGACATTAATTTTGTAGATTCTTCTCTTTACATGAGATCTGTTCTGTTAACTTCATTTTTAAAAGCTTATTTTCTTTTTTAAACTTAAATGTCATAGTTTCATTCGTAAAAAGAGTTAAAAAAAAAAAAAAAAACAGTACAGCTAGCAAGAATAGACTTCTCGCCAAATTGATGAATAAAAAGAATTTCATCTTATATGAAAAGTTACACAATTTGTCGAGTTTTTTTTAAGTATTATCGCAAATATATAGATTCTTTGTACCGCGCATTTTTTTTAAGAAAGTCAATATCCAAAACAGATTTCTCTTCTTTTTTTTTTACACACATAAAATTATTTTTCCCAACATTATTTAATTAAAAATCACGTTTCTTCGTCGAAAACAAGTCGTTCTTTGAGACAGAAATACGTATTCTCCCGTAACTATTTAATTTCAAGTCGCACTGAGTGTGAAAGTTAATGACGCGCTTCGTAAGGAAACTGCCGGTCGTCCTGATCGATCGGCAGTCTCGGTTGCAGGGACGATACCAGAGTCGGCGGCGACGGGGCGGCGAAGGGCGCGTGGTAATCATATCTGTAATAAGCCAAAGACTCCCAACGTGCCGCCGGATGTTGCACCTCGAAGGACGCCGGCGGGATATTGCGCGGGGCGACGTAGTAACCGTGGCTGGGTCGATCGGGCACGCCAGGTAAATAGGTGTACTGCGGCTCCAGCAAACTCTGCAGGTGTCTGATGTACGTGATAGCGTGGCGCAGCGACTCGATTTTGGATAGCTTCTTGCCGGGCGGCTTGCAGATCGGCAACTTTGAGCGGAGCAGTTCGAATGCGCGATTCATGTCGCGCATTCTTGTGCGCTCGCGATCGCACGCCGACTTCTTGTAGTCTGAAATCGTTAATTACGCCCGAGTTAACGACTGTTCTTGCTGTTCCGTATATATACATGCGCGCGCGCACACGTCGTCGACGTATTGTTGTCGCGCGACAACGACACTTGCCCGGAGTGATTGAACGAAATCGCGGTTCGTCGGTTTTTCGGACCGAACCGGAGTTCGAACTTTTTTCGAAACGCATCTCAGTTTCGCGGGATGTTGACAAATTACACGTAGCGACTTCGGGTCTGACGACGGAGATTGAAAAAGAATCCAAAAAAAAAAAAACTATATATTATACATAGAACGTTTCTTAAGTTTTTTAAGTAACTCTTGGTTTAAGCAAGCACATTGAGTCTTATCACAAACAGAGATAACAAACAGTCGCGTTAGTAAACCCGTCTTGATGATATTTCGATACTTCGTAACGAAACGATGAGAAAAGTTTACGGGATCGGCGGTCAGCAAATAAACGAGATACCATTCACGTACATACATACATACTGCGAAAACAAAATAAAACGCACGCAATGTGAACAAAATTCACAAAATTGAGCAAAAATTTCGGACAAATTTGTGTGTGTAAAATGTTGGACGAAAAATTGAAGAAAGTACCGTGACAGTAAAATTGAATGACAGACAGAAAATCTATTTTTGAGTTGGCGGCGCGGGGGTTCTTCTGGAAATCCAATACCACGGAATGACGAACATCAAATCGAGCCGCAAAGGTTAGAGTCGACAGCGAAAAAGTACAAATTATATTGTGTGTATTTTATTTAATACGCATTGAGAAAAAGTAAATGAAACTAATTAAAAAAAAAAACAAACAAACAAACAAACAAACAAAAGTAACAGAGAAATATGTTGCGTCGAGATGTTACACAAGAGTTTCCAGAGTTGCTCGCATAATTACAACGATTGTTTTTCGCGTGTTGATTTCTCATCGCGTTTATCCGCGTTATTCACTGTAATTCTGGATCACTTATGGTAATTTATACGTGTAATTATATCCCTCGCGTGTGTCAACAATATATCTACCTCGAACCCTCCGTTTATTCTTAAGTTATGTAGAAGCGATTAATACCCGCGATCTATCTTACTCAAGATAACTGTTTCTTCTTATTATCGATCAATTACGCTTGACGTGGAGTTCTGCGGAACGGGGGAAAGAGGGGAGAGAGGTGGCAAGGGGGTAGATTACCGCTGTACAAAGTGTTTGCAGAATTTCACCACACTTAGACGGTAGTATATTCAAATAGCGTTAATCTAAAAGTGAAATGTTGTCGCGCTCCGCGCGAAGGGAGAATCAATTCCTTTCGCGCGGAGAAGCCGATAGCGCGGATGACGACAGCGCTTCGAGTTTGAATATAAAAGTTGACACAAGACACGTTGGGGTTCCCGCACTTACGGAATGCATTTGAACCTGTGAACGCGTGTATTTTTTTTTTTTTTTTTTTTTTTTTTTTATTCATTCCGACGCGAATCGCGCCGGAAGAAATCGTCGTGCGAAATTGTAAGAAATTTCGAGAAGATAATGTGTGATTCTTGTTCTCTTTCTTGTTGAAAATGAAATGGAAAGGTACGCGATTGAACGACGCGCGGCACTTTCGACTGCCTCTGCCGCACGCGCGCAAGAAGATGACGATGATACGGGTGATGATGCCGCGCATTGCCGATTGTTCGATCTCGGATTGTTCGCAACATGTCGCGAATCCCGCGGAGTCGCGAGACAATCGCAGAACGGTGGAGTCGAGGCAGAGCTCGGTCGAAATCGCGCTTGTGGCCTGTCGCGGCTTCGAAGACATCGAACAAAGTAAGAAATTAATCATCAACGGACGGCGGCGTGTTTTTTTCGGCACCTTAATTCGCCGGACACGGATCGTTTTCGTCTTGGGCTTTTTAAAAATATTAAATATTTCTTTAAAAAATCTGAAACAATGTGTATATACTCTTTAAACTGTCTATTTTAAGACACCATCATTAAATTTAGTGAAAAGTTTTAATTCATAATTTTTAGCAAAAATATGACAAAACAAGAAAATTACTTTTTTCAGAAGGTAATTTTGCTCCAGACGAAAACGACCCGTGTCCGTCCGTTGAGGGTTAATTAACAGAGGTTAATTAACAGAGAATCGTAGTTTTTGTTCTCAACAACAAAAAGTCCGAAAACTGTAACAATTTATATTTAAGAGTTCTCGCGTCATGCGTTTGACAAAAAGTGCGCAATTGTTTTTTTTTTTATTTTGAAGATAAGGAGAGACACAGAGACGTTTGCGTGCAAACTGAAGTTATCGAGCCTTCCGTTAGCGATTCGTCATCATCCTCATCTTCACAAGTCGAGGATTGTCGGGAGAAGAACAGTCATCAGGAAACCGAAGTTCGGGAGCACGGCGAAAAATTGCGGGACCGAGAGGTCTGCGAGATCGTCGACCAGAATCACGTCGGGAAGAAGATTGAAGAAGGGGAGAAGAAAGGCAACAATTGGTGGAGGGACGGCGGGCAAACAATTTTGCAGTTTTTCGCCAAGATCCTGGGGAAACGCGGCGGGATGTGCGCCAAGGGAGGAATGACAGATCGTGTCTTGCCTGGCGGCAAACAGCAGCGCGTCAAGCGCGTCTCGAGGGGCGGCGGAAGCCATAACGGGCACATAAGGGACGTCGATAGGGGTATACGGTTGAGGAGAGTCAACAACGGCTATATCGTGAATCACGTCTGCAGGTGTGTGTGTGTGTGTGTGTGTAGAACAGTTTGCGAGAACGTGTTATACAAATATATTTATATACCGCGGGGGGGTGTATATGCGCACCCCCGAACGAAACGAAATTCGAATTCAATTTTGGGCAATTCAACGCTTTTTAGAAGAATCCGTCGTCGTCGAAAAGCACGCGACGGCGGGGAAAAGTGGGCCGCTCCGCGCGCTAAATGCAAATGTTCTTCGCGCGACTTTATTGAAATTTCTGTGCGATTTGCGAGCGTTAAACTCGACTTGGGAGAGAGAGTTATGAATTTTCCGTCTGATCGCGCGCTTATACCCAGAGTTTCACAGACTCGACTCGGGTCTGGAGTTGTTCGGCAAATCGAGTTCGCGCGATCGTACGTACGAGTTTGCGCTTCTCTCCTCTCTCCCAACGATGAGAACGACGACTACGACGACGACGACGACGACGACGATGCACACGTAGCGCGTCTTCAAATAACTTTAAGCGCGCGGCAGCGCGATGCATCGGTTATAAAAATGCGCCACTTCCCCTCCCGCCTCCCCGGGTTCTACATCCGGTGAATGCAGTCGTGACGCGCGAAAATAGTATCTATTTCTTTATTGTCCGAAATGTACGAGCGCGTAACGCGCTTTGCGTTTCTTATTGATATTCATGCGCGCGTTGCGTTCGCGCTTCGCATTTTCTTTCAGAGACGAGGGAAACGGCGGCGACCTGACGAAGAAAAATAAGTCACGCGAGGAACAGCATTATCCCTCGATACTCGTGCGACAGATACAGCGAACGCGTGACAAAAATCTACGGGTCTTGCTGCTCGAGCGAGAGCTGCGTCTACGTTCGTCGAAGATCGTCAAGGAGAACAAAACCCGTCTCGTCCCGGACGAAGCTGTTCGGCAATTGAGCAGCCCTCTGTGTTGATCAGCTCCGGCAAACTAAAGAAGAAGAAGAAGAAGAAGAAGAAGAAGAAGAAGAAGAAGAAGAAGATCGGGCGAACTTTCTGGCGAAAGAATCTTGTAGACATACAATCAGACGGATGACAGTCTTATCTTCGCTCGACCTCGGGGTCTTATCTCTCTTAGAAACGTATCCTAGCGGAAGATATGCACCGAAACTACTGTTAGTTTTCTTTTTTCTTTTTTTTGTTTTTTTTGTTTATCGACCTTTGATACATGACGCTCGGCTATGACCAAAGCACACGAACCAATCGTCGACGTGCAATTTGATGATTCGCCGTACCTTTCTCGGTCTGCGACGGTTCCCGTGACACCGACCTGATGTTGGTCTCGTGAAGCATCTCGAGATGCGAGTGGCTCCCGATCATTTCCGGTTCCGGCACTCTAATTACCAGCACCCCCTCGGGATTCTGCTCGCCGCTGCGCGCCACGAAATTCGCCTCTTGCCATCTGTTTCTTAACGACTGATGAGAGCGCGCGGCTTCGTCTGCGAGGAAACGATGTAGTGCCGATAATTACGCAATTTTCTTCATTATCAATTCGCGAGATAAATGAACGCGCGAAGAAGTTGTGTGTGTGTTGCGCCCCGCAAAACATGTGTAACGAAAAAAAAAAAAAACGAGCTGGTTGATTGACGCTCGATGACGCTCGCGATTTACGTAGAGATTTATAATTGAGAGAGGCGTGTATCGGCGTATATATAATAAAACGCGTACACAATTTTTCTCCGTATTACGATTTTGACGCACGAATACACGTCACCTGGTATCAGTCCTTGATCCTGCAGATGTTGCTGATCCACCGCGGAACTCGGCGAGCTCACTTCCTGACCCGTGGCCTTCTGCTGCTTCGAGTTCTCGTCCAGATCCAGCAACACGGGCGAACGCGCATAATCCTCGTCGTTGCTCTCGTTCTCGGACTGGAAAACGAATAAGCGAGTTCTGTGCCGGCCAGATTTCCGCGACAATCTGGCGCGACTTTTTCGTCGTGTTACATCGAAGTAACATGTTTTTTTTACATCTCAGACTAAAAAATAGTTTTTTTTTTTAAACGTTAAGATTATTACGAGGAGTAAAGATTTAATTGAAACATTGATTCAACCGGAGGTCTGTACGAAATATGTGACGAGTAAATCGCTGTGACTCAATGTTGTTTTTACTGCGACGTTTCGTGATCGCGAAACCCTCTCGCTATGTTGTTTCCTCGTTACCTCGTTTTTCGTCGGTTCGGCGCGATATTCCTCCGGATTCTGATCCATCCCGGTCATTCGGTCAAGCGCAAACGGCACTTCCTCGTTGACCCTTGTGTCACCCATCGACGCAACGATGAGAAACGACGTGGAAAAACTGTCGAGCCCACCTTTCTCAAGCCCGAGTCTTCGTAACGAAGGCGTGTGTATCACGTGGGTCTGGCCGCGTTTGTCCTCGGATAAGATGTGGATCGGCCACAGACAGTCGTCGTTATTAATGTTAATTTTATCCGTTTATTAAGTATTCAGGTGTTCCATCAGAGGTTCTCAGCTTATCGCCAGACGATTTCCCCCTCCCCCCCGCGAACGGAAGAAGGTGTCGAATATCACGCGGGCCCCGTTCACGAGATACATATATATATATTTTTTTATAAATGCAAAGTTTTAAGTTGCCGACAAATGCCGCATCGAAAATAAACAATTGTCGAAAGACATTTAACAATACGACGTATAATCTTGATCGCTCCAGAGCGCGGAAATACATGATCGTGTGCTTGCACAAAAACAATATGTTAATATCATGTTGATTTGTTCGTTGGAACACGTTCAAATCAATTTTCTTATTATCGTAATTATCATGTTTGTATAATTAGCGCGTTCGTTTTGCATATGTGTGGCATTACTTTTTTTTTCAAGTTTTTTTTTTACCTCTTTTTGCAAAGTAATGTCTCGAGGAGACAATATTGTCGTGAAAACATATAACTATTCGCGATACAGATACGGGGAGACATATTCGTATGATCCTCGTATGGAACAAAATAATGCGTGTGTTTCGCATGAACATGTGCGTTCTAAATGAAAAAAATATACCTATATGTATATACAGACAGAGCTATGGCATCCGAATGCAGATATCCGTACCTGACGCGCGTTGATATTAGCATAAAGTGTGAGAGCCTCTGGGATGATCGGGATAAAAATGGGAGTACAAACATCGGGGCATAATAGACGCCCCGACCGAATGGAAATACTAATGAGACGGAACCGTGCAAGTATAACAGATCGTGAAGAATGGCGCACGTGGGCGGAGAGATGCGACGAGAATTACGAATAACGGACGGAAAACGTAGTCACACAATTTCTCATTATCCGCTATCGCGCGATATATATATATATATATGTATGTATATACATATATGTGCGATTTGCGAAAGTGAACCGCGAGTGTTCGGGTGCAAAGAGCGCTGAGCGAACGTACATATCTCAACTGGCTGCTGGAGGAAAGTACATATCGGGAGAAGCGCAATCTCTCGGTTTTTGTTTTTTATTTCAAGGTATTTAAAACAAATCTTTCGAACAAATAATTCGATTGTTTTTCCTTTATACAAATAGGTTTTATTAAAAAGATCGCTTATGCACAAAGTAATCGCGCGCGCTCTCTCTGCGCGACGTTTATATGATATATCGAGAGCGCGTTTATACGTACGTGAATGTGTACGTAACACGCGTTCAAGCTACACGTTCGCAGTGTATTCTTTATATTCAAAACAGTTCTTCTCAAAATGCAAACTTTGTTCCGGTCCCTCTTTTACCCGAATATCTTTTTGAGCTCGCAAGTCGCGAAATTCTAGAAATAAACGACGATGTCGTGGATGGCACATCCGACGTATTCCGACGTACGTCTATATCTGGGAAAGAAGAAGAAAAATAATATATAAATTCAACGTTTCACATTCTCCCTTACTCTTTCTCTCTCTCTCTCTCTCTCTCTCTCTCTCTCGTGTGTTTTACAGCGAGCATTACGTGTGATCGATCGCAATGCGGGAGACTGTGATATTACCATATGTCAACGAATAATCTTTCTTTCGGCGGCAGGGATACATCAACGCCGCGCGCAATTCCCTGTTGAATGCGAAGTAGATCCACGGATTAACGCAACTCGTCAGACTGTTCAGGAGACTTAGGATCGTGAAGGGTGCTCCTGAAAAATTATAAGCGGCAACAAGGTAAGAATCAAGACGCAAAAAAAAAACAAAAAAAATAAAAGAAAACAACTTGAAAATTGTTGCGATAATAATTGCGATCGCGTGTTACATGTATGTACACTTTGCAGAACTGATTTACCGGTGAAAAATGGCGACGTGGAAGCTTTCGGATCCCAGGTTGCCCAGAGTTCGCATCCGATGAAAGGGGTGTTCGTGACAATGTACAGAGTGACTACCACAATGGTCTGTTTCACGGTATGGATCATCGCCTTGGAGATGAAGGGATCGCGATTTCGTTGAGCGAAGCTGGCTTTGCTGCTCTTTTTACTTAGATCAACAACTCCCGACATTTTACTGCTCGTCCAAATTGATCTGCATATCCTCGTGTAAGTGTACACGAGCACGATGAAAGGTAACAGGAACTGCGTCACGCTGTACCTGTGTGCGCGTATGTATATACATGTGCGTGAGTGAATTCAGACATCAGAAACGCTTGAAAAATTTATTTGCATTACTGAATGTTTAACGCGTCTCGCGAACGGACATTACCAAGTAATGTAAGCTCTCTCGCCGTATTTCAGGTGAAAAGTCGCCCAACACTCCCAAACGCCCGGCGATATCTCTTGATAGGAGAATATGAAAACCTGCAAAATGCATGTGTGTTATTTTGCAAACAATTTGTAATTTTCTCGTCGCGTTGGACGGACGACACAGAAACGACATGTGTGATGTCTAATTTGGCGGGGGAGTCGTCACGTTTTTTCTGTTTTAAACGTCAAAAAAGTTGCAATGAAAAAACACGGAGCGGATAATATAATACATTTATAAGTGACAAGTTTGTGCAATTAGCGCTCTCATAAATTAGCGCGCGTGCTGTCTGCACGGGATAAAAATTAATATCTCAAGTAAACTGATCCCGCGCCCTCTTATTCTTGTAAAGCAAAACGGTTGAAGCCATGAATAAGACACGTCCCGTCGCGGGTTCGGGCAAGAGGAAGGCGCGGAATTAAATTTTCAACCGACCTGCGGCACACAAAGCACGAAGGCGAGAACCCAGACTCCGTACACCATCATTTTCGATCTTCCGGACGTGACGCCGCAGTAACTGAAGGGATGGCAAATGGCGTAATATCTGTCCATCGCGGTCACCGTCAGGATGTAAGAGCTGAGATACAGACCGAACGGCTGTCCGAATTTGATCAGTTTACACAGCACCGCGCCACCCTGAAATCTGATTCGGTCGAATTTATTTTAATCGAATCGCACGTCACACGAAAGCGAAATCCCATCCGGGAAGAAACTCAAATTTATACGGACGTTCCCTCAGGACCGTCTCACATTGTGAGAGATCCTTTCGCAAAGATATTACAATTATTTATAAAAGCGTACGTATTTACATATTTATTTACAACGAAATTCAATTTCTTTCTCTCTTAATAAATGTATCACTTTTCTATATACAAATACGTTTTTGAAAATGTGCCGCATTTGTTTTTCTAATAGGATAGATTCCGACTTGAATACATGACTTTGAAGAGATACTCGATTTAAATAAGTCACATATAGTTTCTTTAATTGCAGTTTCTTGCTTTTCAAAGAAAAGCACATTATTTCCGATTGAATAAAAGAACTGATGCAAATGACATTTTCGACCGGCATAATATCGACGTCTTTATCACAAAATAAAAAAAAAAAAAAAACAAACGACGCACTTTTTGTTGCTTCGGAAATTTGCGTATGTTGTGGTTAAACAACGCTCATTAAAGAATCATAAGGTCGGTCGTGACGGCGCAGCTTATATGTATACCTGAACGTAATGTCCCAGGCGAGTTGCGGCAGAACGTCGAGCAGACCCGTCAACAGGTCGGCGACGCTCAAATGCAGGATGAAGAAGTACATCCTGGAGATTTTGCGCCGCTGATAGCGTCGCCTGACGTAAAGAGCGAACAGGACCAGAGCGTTGCCGATGATCGTGATGACAAAAATGCTGGTCAGCACCGCGATCTCCCATCTGGCGAGATATTCGTCCCTCGTGTCATCCTCCAGATACGGCGACGACGTCGACGACGACGACGACGACAACGAAGAAGAGTTCAAATCGCGCGACATATTTCTTCTTCGTAATTCGCGCACTCTTCCTCGCTCGCTCGTTTTGTCATTCAGATAAAAATGTTTTCTTCGTTCCCCGTGTGTGGAAAAAGAAAAAAAAAAAAAAAAAAACAAAAACTCCAAAGACTCCGTTCGCGCGTAAACCCTACGCGCCTCCTACGAGCGTGCGACGCGACATTCGCGCGTCGACTGAATATTCATATTTCACTTCCGGTAGCGCATCAATTCTCGTTCCCCGACGCAACGCCGGTAAATATTACTTCTGAAAATATTATCGATCATCGCGGAGTCGATCGTGGATGATCAATCGCGCCAAAATGTTTTCTCAACGAGAGAAACAGAGTTGTGTCGAATCGAAATTCACCGAGGCGAGTTAACGGAAACGGAACGGGCGATTTACAAACGGAAGCGCGCGTTATTCGCACACGACTCTCCCTGTATATTATAATAACACTATTATAGCGCAAAGCGCGCGCGTGCGAACGCGATTTTCTCTCTGTCGATACACGAGCCTCGCGCGCAACATCGATACTGCACGTCTCGCTCGGCGATTGGATCGCGCGCATCGCGCTTCGCCTCGGGTCAGTCGAGTGGAAGGATTGGCAGCTCCTTCGAGTGTGTTGATGAAAAAAACAACAGGCGGAGGGTTCGCGGAAATACTGCGTGGATCTACGTACGTGGGGCAATTACACGAGCGTGTCATCGCGAGGTCGACACTTCGCTTAGCTCGTTCCGCACATTCCGTCCTGGACAAGCAAATAACGCGATAAGCCGAGACTAATGACAGTTATCGGCAATTCGTTGCATGAAGATCTTCAATACGATGCACGTTAATCCAGCAATCATTGTACGTTCAAAACGCGGGGATATATTATATAACGCGAGTCTTTTTTTTTTTTTTTTCAACCGCTACACGCGATGATGCATTGCGATGCCGTCGTCCATCATTTTTATGGATCATACTTAAACGTATTAAATTATGTCAACAAGAACCGTGCTTCGCGAACGGGTGCTTCGCGGGACAAGCGGAATGTTAAAGAAATCGAGAACGATTGTAGTAATGTAGAAACGAGCAATCAATTTTATGTGTCATCGATTGCGACAATAGCTCCGGGCAATCGCAGTCAAGTGGCAGTCGAGAAAAATCGTTTCGGAGCTTCCCGTGCTGATTGCGCGAATTGACAGAAATCTTATATTGTTGAATTTAGTAGAGCGCTTTTCATCGATTTTTGCGCGCAACATACAAATGATCGAAACACACAATGAGAATTTTCTTCGAAAGATGATTTAGACGAACATCAAAGCAAAGAGATTAGACTTCCACGTTTTTTGTCTCCAATTTTGCCGTGTAATTTGTTTGTACGTCACGTTTTGCTTGTTTTTTTTTTTTTTTTTTGCCAATTTGACACAATGCAAATATTCACGTAACTTCAAAGCATAAAAACAAAACACAGACACACAGACACACAAATCTGTTTGAGAGAGAAAAAATGTTAAAGGGTCAGAGTATGGCAGAGTCTTTATACTCATAAAGCTCGTACGCAAAATGAGAGAACGCAAACGCGCATAACGGAGTATTTAAAAAAAAAAAAAAAAAAAAAAAAAAAAAAAACAGAGGTGCGAAAAGTTCAAGTTTATACAATAGGTAGCAGAAAAAAAAATACCAAAAATGTTCTTTTTTCAAAATTCGCCAAACGTAAAACTGGAGACACTTGTGCTGAACTAGAAAAAAAAAAAAAAGGTAAATAAATAAACCGCTAAAAGACTACGTAAACTTCCACGCGTGACTATTCATGCGTGTGACTTCATTCAATAGACTTGAACTCGGTACGGAAATCGTTTTACATTTACAATGAGGAGGATTTTGCTTCTAACATAGTTTTTTCTCCGCACACACGCTTGCCAACACGTTTTTTTTTCACGAAGCGACGCAAATATAGATATTTTTTCTGTTACGCGCGCTGTTTAGCTATTTTAATAGCTCGCGTGTCTATGATTTATTACGCGCGGATTCACACACGTGCAATTATGCGCGCATTAATCAGCGCGCGTATAAATGAGAACGTTCTGATTTATACCTGCGAGTTTATTATTTATTATATCTGATGGGTTTGTAAGATCAGTCGCTGCTGATGTGAATCCGAGCAAGGTATCGATTATTCGAGAAAGAGAGAGAGAGAGAGAGAGATATTGTTCCTCGAACACATCGAAGACGCGCGCCGCGAGCACAAAGCGTAAACTGTAATCTCTCTCATCATCATCGCGAAGAATATTCTCTAATTATTTATGATATCGCGACGGACTTTTCTTACGACGATCCATTTATCGAATACGTCCTCTGGCGCATTCGCCGAGGTCTCTCGGTGCGACGAGGCGCAAAAAGCGTCTTATACTCCTCGCGAAGGAGCGCGCGAGAAGAAGCGATATATATATATATATATATAATAAAATGTATATGTATATGTATAATCTTGCTAATGCACTTTTGACCCGCGGCAAAAAAAAGTGCGACTTTTTATTGACTTTTTCATTCGGTAAATTAAGGTTATTTATGAGTTCGCGCACTTTGTTCCGAGACGCGAGCCAGTCACCTTCGCTCGACGCGGACGAACAAATGATCGAAATAATGTCAGTAAATATATATCGTTTCGAACCGCTCCGTAAAAAAAATATCGTCTTAATTGTGCAAAAACAATTATTGCGGTCCGTCGCGACTGGATCTCTGTCGCAACGAAGTCTTCTTTTTTTTTTTTTTTTGCTTGCATCTCGATGAGAGAAATTGGAGTTTATTTAGCGGTGCGTGTTGTATGCACACTTCAAATGATACATAATGCATACCTTTGTTTCCGAGAGAAGATTTAAATATCAGGTTTTTATCAATCAACCGACATGCGATTTGCATGAGTAAGCGCATTTCGAATGTGACTTATTTACACGCTGTGTTTTAGCATCGCGGGATAAAAAAAAGAGATATCGACACATTAAACGTCACACACTTCCTCGTTGAGGAATGATGAACTGGAGCTTTTTTTTTTTTTACACACAACAGTTCGCCGTGTCCGGTTGGACACGTCTGTACGACTCGATGATTGACTCGGCGGGCGCGTAACCGTAACGTATAATTAATTAGCGAAACGCAATCTCGATGTAAATGCGTTCATGTGCCGGCTAATGATCGAGCGACAATGTCGAGCGAACTGGGCGTGATCGCGACAGCTTCACGGGAACGTTTGTTTGATCAAGGTGTACACGGTTCGTATATTACGCGCCGCGCGGCATTGAATCGTTAAACAGACCAATTAAATAGACGTGTATGAGACCCGCGTTCACGAACGCGGGTCGCGAAAGATGACGAGCGCGAGCTGAAAGATCCCGGCAATCTCCGCAATTAACAACAACAGCTACCTTTGCGGTGTTTTCAAGTTTTATATTTCGCAACGCACGAGCGCGCTCGATTCTCTTATCGCGAGTGTCTTACTCGCTTCACAATCGGTTTTGTACGTGCGATTTTTGCGCCACTTTATCGTGTATTCCAGCGAATAAATCCATTTGCTTCGCGTCAACGTTTTTGTTAAATTTTTCGATAAATTTCTTTTCCAAATGCGAAAACTCCCTCGACGCATATTTTTTTACAATTTGTTTCCAAAAACTTTACGATATGTTGCTACAGGGGTGGGTATTCCTTATATATGATAATTTAATATTTCTTGTCAACGTTATGACATCTCGGAAATACGGGGGAAGGGTCTCTCCCTCGCGGGAAATACCGTAAGGTCGATATTGAGAGCCATTGCTTTGCATCGTCGCTTCACGATGATGCATCACGATGGCGGGTATCCCTTTCGACGGGTGTCGCGCGTAATTGACTCGGAGGGGAGGGTCAATCGAATGCCCCGTTCGGCTTCTCTCATAACTTACCCCATATCGTCGTCGCCGAGCGCATTACTCCGCCCCGGCGGAGGATCGCGCGGGGAAAAAGGGATCGCAATATCTTTGCGTTTTCTTCGACGGAGGTGATGTCGATCCGGCGGCCTTCTCCGCCGCCGGCGCGAGCAAGTGAAGACGTTTATCATTGTCGACGCCCATTCGTCGGGCGTCCGGGGATCGTCTTTCTCTCGGTTATTGCGGATTACGAGCGGGAAGTGCGCCGCTCGATATAAAAGGGCGAAAGTGACGACCTCGACGGCGAAAGAGACGCGCCTGGAGGAGCTTCATAAAGTAAATTACTATGTGCCGCACGTATAAGTCTTGCGAAGGATTAAGGAGGGAACCGGAGATACTCCTCGCGTGTGTCTCTTGCCGGACTTCTCGCGTCCGCCCTTCTTTCGTTATCTCCGACGTTATCGGTCGACGTCGTTGACTGAAAACCGGCGGTGACTTTCCCTCCCTCACTTGGCGTGGTTGCTCGTCGATAAAAAAAAAAAAGAAAAACATCCCGGAGGGATGAAAAGAGGGGTTGAAACGAGCGAGAGAAGTCGTGTAGATTACGACGTTAAAGCGTACGTGTAATAAGCTCGGCGCGACGGGGTTTCTCATTTCGGATTTTCTTTTCTCCTCTCTCGCGGGAGAGATCTCGCGCGAAAGCAACGCTTTATCGCTTTCTCTCGCCGCGGATATTTGTCACCCGCGCGCCGTATCCGCGACATATTCTCTCGCCGGTTATATTTCTCGTCTAAATAAATTCAGACAATTTGTGAGAGCCTCCCGCGTCCCGTTGTTATCTTTCTTAACTATGTAGTGTAGCGCAAGAGTCGGGAACTGAAGCTAATAATTTTAAGGAAGAAACACGATGGGTGGGGGGGGGGGAGGGGAAAGAGGCAAGCGCGAGGTATTTAAGTAATTACAGAGTTCTCTCACTCCTCTCTCTCTCTCTCTCTTTCTTCCACGCGCGATAAATTAGTCCAACAATAGAACGAATACAATTTATCGTGTTTTTATTAGCCTTTTATGCGCTAAGCGAGCTCTTCCTCAAACGTGTAGAAAATGCAGAGTGACAAATGCGGTGGAAAATTTCGTTTTACTCGCTCGAAGCGTTCTTCGGTTCGCTATAAATAGAAGCGACCGGCTAAAATGCTCGCGTCAATGAGCACGCGCTTCGAATTGAAGATATTATCTGCGCGAAAGTCAGTCAGGTGTCGCATTTCTCTGTCGTTTGAACGACAGTAGTCCAAATAGTATATCGGACCTTCCACGATGTATTAATAGCGCTATTTGAGTTGGCAGAAATCGCTACTCCCCGTCCGCGAGTTATTTTTTTTATTTCGGACATAAATATATACCAAAATAAGCGGCGAATTTTTTTTGACTTTTCTCGTTGATTTCGCTCGCGTTTTCTTTGTTTTATTTAACGGAAGACGCGCGCGTTTTTTTCGCGCGCAGAAGAGTTTTCACGCTCGACGGGAGCGTAATTTTATTACGTTTATCTGTAAGTATCGTGTGTATATTGCACGGGAGTGTACTTCTCATTTAATCACAAAGGAAACTATTATGCGAACTCTCTTAGCATAAATTTGCGCACATTTTCGGAT